AAAAGCCCTCTGGTTTCATTGGTGTAGTCATTCTGTCCACTGCCATAGATTGAAATACCTCCGTATCTGCTTGATCTTTGTGATTCTTGCCCCTGTTTTCCCATAGATTTTCTACACAGATTTTCTGTACAGGAACCACCCAATGTGCCAGAAGCTATCTCCTGTTTTTTTTTAGGAACTCAGCATTACCAATATAAATAAACATTACTATAAAACAGCAATTAATTTCCGAGTCTAGTTTAGCAGAACTGCCTCATCATCTAAGATGGTCTTTAAATGAAGAGAGAGCTTTAGGAACTGAGGAAGAAAAGGGACTAGCTGTTTAGTCTATCTCTCTGAAGATGAAAACATGCACATATTAACAGTATCTGTTAATTAGAATATCTGTAGCTCAGTATTATCAGTATAATTAAACAGTATCTGAGAAATTAGATCAGCCCCTACTTTCCCCACTGACTCAGTAGGATTAGGGTGTCATAAATATAGATCCGGTGTGTATTTATGTAGGGAAGGGCATTTTCATACAGGACGGACAGACAGGCACTACTCTGCCACCTCATTGGTTCAAAGCCCCAAGCAAAAGGAGGGTCAGGCTAAGGAGTAGAAAGGGGAAAACCAGAGACACACATGTGCTACTCTCCATGATTACTCCATACTCCAGGAGGAGATAGAAAGGTAGTCAGATTCTGTTAATCAGTGCACAGTTAACTAATGCCCTTGTTAGCCACCAGCATCCTATAATGGCCACTTGACTTGCAAAAATCAGGGAGACCAGAGAGAGTCAAAAATGTGTTAACATTTTTTAGACCCTGTGACATTTTCCTCTCTTTTCAGTCACAAAGGGAGGAATCAAGCTATTGGTTCCATTTCTTTAGTCTCTTATCTGACCCTTTGGCCCACGGCCAACTCTTGATGATTGATTTTTGTGGACCATTTTCAAGAACTCATCCCTTCTTTTCTCCTTCACCCAGTTTGACTCTGGATTGCCAGCAGTAGGGCCAAGATGGAAGTGGGGTCCTGGTCAGATGGGTGTGGGAAGACAGATGTATGACCATGTTACAGAACCCACATAGAGGTAATTTTAGGATTTCTCATTATTTTCTGATACCATTCCTCCTATCTCTCATTAGGGTTTCTAATGAACACCTGGTAATATTTTTCCTTCTGAAGACTAAACTGTCTCAAATAATGCTTTTTTGATTTTTTGCTGAAGAATGATTTGTTACTTAGGATCACCAAAATAGGATCCTGAAAATAATAGTGGAGGGGTGAGTGGTGGGAGACAATTTCAATCAATTCATCTTGACAACATCTCAGGATTTAAGGCTGGAACATGGGGCCCTAACCAGCATGCTGAGCTATAATAGTAGCAAAAATACAAGATGGGTAAAACCAAACTCAATAGCAATTCACATGAAAGACCTTCAGATACAGAAAAAAAGAGTGCTAGACTTAGAATCAGACAATCTGGATTTTAGTCCTTGTTCAACCCTCTTACCACCATGTGAACTTGGGAAAATCATTTAATTTTCTCTGAGACTTAGCTTCCTAATATATACAAAGGGAAAAGTAGTATTTGTACTACATCTCCCATAAGGGTATAAGAAAATACTATGAAAATTGTAAGGCACTATACAATTATATAATACTTATAATAACATTGATAAATAAATATGGGAAGGGTAATCAACCAAAAACTTGATGTGAGCCAATATTGTGATATATTTTCTTAAAAAGCTAACAATCTTAGAATATATTGAGGTAAAGTATTCAAATTTAGTTTAGTAACAGTCCCACTGGCTCTGGTCTGTGGTCAGACCATGCCTAGAGTATTGTATTTGGTTCAGGGTGCCACATTTTAAGAGAGACATTGACAAATTGGAATACATCAGGAAAGGAAATCAAAAGGAGGTCCAGAAACTATCATTCTTAATGAGATACAATTCTGTCACTAGTTATGTGACCTTAGGCAAGTTGTATGTCTCCTCTGAAACTTAATTTCCTCATCTGAAAAATTTAGCATTTGAATTAGATGATTTCTAAGGTCCTTTTCAGGGGTAGCTAGATGGTGTAGTGGATAGAGCACCAGGCCAGGAGTCAGGGAGAATCATTTTCCTGAGTTCAAATCTGGCCTCAGACACTAGCTGTGCCACCCCAGGCAAGTCACTTAACCCTGTTTGCCTCAGTTTCCTCATCTATAAAATGAGTTGAAGAAGCACTCCAGTATCTTTGCCAAGAAAACCCCAAATGGACTCACAAAGAGTCAGACACAACTGAAATGACTCAACAACAAATTCTGATAACACTTCAAATATTAAATAAGCTCTCATATAAAATAACCTTTAGTTATTTCTTCTCTAGGTTAAATTCATAGAAACATAGTATGTTAGAGTTGAAAAGGACCTTGTTATCATTCAGTCATGCCTGACTCTTTGGGGTTTTCTTGGCAAAGATACTAGAGCGGTTTGCCATTTCCTTCTCCAGCTTATTCTACAGATGAGGAAACCAAGGCAACCAGGGTTAAATGACTTGCCCGATGACCCTATGGTCCTTAACTCAGAAGTCGTCTTCTCTGGAGACCCAGAGAAATCCCTGCTTTTACGTTGCAGGATCTCAGATGCCCAGGCTGACCGCTGCCTGCACAGATGCAGGTGCGGAGAGCTCTGTAGCTATAGAATCTGAGCTTTCAGGGCTTAGTGAGGGTTGAGTTCTTCTTAAGATACTGAAACTCCTGATGAAGTGGAAAGAGCCCTGGACTTGGAGTAAATCAAGAGATCTGAGTCTGAATCTTAGCTCTGCTAATTCCTACTTATGTGGTATTCAGCAAAATCACTTAAACTCTCTGAGACTCAGCTTACTGGAAAGCCCTGAGAATTGCAGTGGGAATGGGGGTAGAGGGTGAGGATAGGAACATGGGCATTCCTTATGTGTCCCTAAGACAGCATAGTGCAGGGAATAAGAGTGCTGGACTCGCAGTCAAGGAGACCTGGGTTCAAATCCTGCCTCAAATGACCCCAGGTACATCAATTCACATCTTAGGGCCTCGGTTTCCTCATCTGTAAAATGAAAGAGCTGGACTTGATGGCTTCTGTGGTCCCTTCCAGCTCCCAATCTCTGTTCTTGTGGCTGGTGGAATGGGGTGACAGCTCCAGTGCCCACTTCTTCCAGGACCCTGAGCGAAGGATGGGGCTTCCTTTCTACTGTGTACCCTGGGCTCCTCCAGCTCCCAGGATGGATTGGCCCTCCAAGGTGCCAAGGGTAGAAGAGCAAAGGGGGAAGAGCAGGAAGGGAGCCCAACAAAGCCCTCTGATGTGCCCAGGGCAATGTCTAAGGTTTGTGTTCAAATCCTCCCAAGGAGCTGGTAGGCAGGACCCCTCCCCATGGCCAGAGCCCCCAGGGATCCCCAGAAAGCCAGGGTTCTCCCCTCCCCCACCCTGTTCCCCAGGCCCCAAGGATCACAAGTATCAGGTACTGTTGTTGTTGTTGTTGTTGTTGTTTGTCCTTTGTTCTCAAAGAGGACTGTGACACCAGGAAGGTGATGTCACGACTTGCAAGTGAATTGGATTTAAGTGAGGCAGGGCTGTGCAAAGTCACTAGCCTCACTTTCTCCTCCGGAGTCATCTGGGTCTAGTGGTAAGATATAGATCTGGACAACTGGAGATGGCCTCCTTCAGGCACTGAGACCTCCACCAGACAACCAAGGTCAAGGTTTCAGAGTAAGGTTGCCAGCACCTCCCCTGCCAGGACCTGGTACTACCTGATGTCTGCAAGCCTAGATGAGGTGTTCTGGTGCTCCCACCCCAAGAGGGGGAAACCTGGGGTTCCTCGTCCATTCTCCTCCCCACCCAAAGTCATGCCTCTCTGCTGCTACTTCACCCTGGCAGATCTGGCTTTTTCCAACAGGCCTTGACAAAGCAGGGTAGGGTAGCAGCTAGTGTGCTGGGCTTGATTGAGGTCAGGAAGCCCTGTGTTCAAATCTCACCTCAGAAAGTTACTATTGTGTGACACTTACACACGAAACCTTTGAGGCAATTACTTCTTTAGCCCTCGGCTTCCTCATCTGTAAAATGGAGCAGGGGGAGGAGGTGGACTCAGCTGGAAATTCCTATCTGCACCTTTGGCAAGTATGGTAATAATAATCCATGTATGGGACAAGAAGCCAAAAGAATGCCTTCAGGGGGAGGAGGCAGGAAAAAAAGCAGGGCAAAGGCTACCAAACCTGTTGGAAGCAGACAGAGATTCCTGGTATCCCCAGGATAAGTCAAGGCTGCCACAAAGGGGTGGGGTATGGAAAGATTGTGCAGAGTGGTGAAAAAGTTCATCCCTAGCCTGCCATCCAACAGCTTCCTATTTTAACTAACTGTTCTTGCTAGCTCTGTTATTTTATATAGCTGACTGTTCTAAGGACTGTCATATTATATATATGAATTAGATATTCACCCTCTAAATTCAGCAACCTGGGACAGAGCCCCAGTCACCCTATCCTAGTTATGACTATGATCTTGAGACTCCAAATCTCTAGAGAAAATCTGACCTGGCTTCCTTGTGGGACTCTGCTAAAAGATATTTTCTCTTTTTAGTATCTAAGGAAGCATAGATTTTTTTTAAAGTAACCCCTTTATTAATAATGACTGCATCTCTAAAGTCACAGACAAAGTAAGGCAAAGGATTGCCTGATAAATTTGGAGTTGTCTCAATGGCCAGTAAAAATAACAACAACAAAAATCTACTTTTACCTGGTTTATCAAGAAAAGCTTTCTATGATCTGCGCTCACTGGGCCTTCTTTGCATAATGCTTTGTCTTTCTTTATCTATATGTTTCAGTTAGTGCCCTGTCCCAGCTCTTTTTGACTCCTGTTTTACTACTGGCACACAAAACCCATCCCAAGGCTGTCATTTTACAAAGGGATTTAAAAAAACAGAAAATCAGAAAGTTCAGAAAGTAGAACCCAGTGTGTGTAACCGTTGTGGTTATCTTTTCTCTGGTTTTGCAGTCTGATCAATACGTAAGTCAGATGGCTGATCAAAGGCAGCGGGCTATGTCGACATCTGGAGAAGCTTTATATGAAATTCTTGGTCTACAGAAGGGGGCAACACAAGAAGAAATTAAGAAAACTTACAGGTACAGATGAGGTGCAGTGATGGCATTTGCTGTGGGGCTAGGGACTCCTATTTTGTGATCGATGATGAAAGAAAATGAATCTCTGGTCAACGCCAGGTTGTGTGAATTGTGTTCAAATCCTCCCAAGGAGCTGGTAGGCAGGACCCCTCCCCATGGCCAGAGCCCCCAGGGATCCCCAGAAAGCCAGGGTTCTCCCCTCCCCCACCCTGTTCCCCAGGCTCCAAGGATCACAAGTATCAGGTACTGTTGTTGTTGTTTGTCGTTTGTTCTCAAAGAGGACCCTGACACCAGGAAGGTGATGTCATGACTTGCAAACGAACTGAATTTAAGTGAGGCAGGGCTGTGCAAAGTCACCAGGTTATGTGAATTTAGTGCCTCATGGTCCATCTCTTCTAAGATCATTGGCAATGTAAGCATTTAGAGACTGTATGTCAGCTCCTGGGAAATAGGGACTATTGATTTCATTTTATTAATATTTGCATCCTCTGGTTCTGGTAGAATGCCTGCTACTCACAGGCACTTAATGAAGGGCTCCTTGATTGATTCATTGATCCACAGGAACTGTCTCCCAATAGAACTCTGTTATAATCTCAAGCTTAGGGGACAAAGATAACACAGGCATCTTAAGTTTTCAGTATCGCAACGAGACAAAGAGACTATGCTGGGGAGCCTTGGTTTGGTCTGCTGTATAGTACAATCTATGGCAGACAGAGGCACAGAATGCGTAGAGGCACAGAATGCGTAGGGGGCCTGGTTTGATATTGTGAGCTGGGAACAAAATATTGCTAAACAAAAGTAATTTAGGAAGAAGTTTAAGTCGCCCAACAGAGAGGAGAGCCAAAATAGGTGGCTTGCTGCCCCCAAACTTGCAAAAGCTGCACATTATATAGGACACAATCAAAGAAGCAAATAAACAATAGTTGACTGGTTAATACATGGTAAGTTTTACGAATAAGGCACATAGGTTGATTAAACTTCACATAGAATAATTAAAATGTACTTCTCAGAAAACCAGAAATGAACTGACCCTTTCAAACATCAATCTTTGGGTCCCTTGAAGTTTTCTGAGGTCAGTACAACCCGGGATCCTTGTTAAGCATTAAACTAGTCTGGTTATCTAAGCAATACATGTCTTATCGTGCAAGGCTAGATTCAAACAATGAAATAATTAAAAATCTCTCCTATAACTCAGTACTTAATAATTTTATCTAAAAATTGGTAATTAATAATTTTACCTGCAACATTTTGTAGAAGAGCTCTTCTTAAGCTTTAGCTCCATCTTCTCACACCCCACCTGATTTTCCAGTTAGCTCTAACCTATGCAAAGAATGCAATATGCTGTGCTCCAAAGCTCCAGGGCTTGGTTATATGTGGGAAAGAAGCCCAAGGGGGTCAGGGTCAGAAGGCCCAAGTTCAAGGTCTGGCTCTGACACTTGTGAACTGGGTGACCTGGGACAAGTCCTTCATCTACATAGTGAGGGGGTTATTCTCAGGTCCTTTTCAACACCAGCATTTTGTTTTTCTTTTAAAACCTGATTAGAATGATTATTTTTAAGTTAAACCAATTCATGCTCATTACTCAAGTGTTATAAACCATTTAAACATTTTCAGTTTCCTTGTTTTTGAAATGGACTTGATGATGTCTAAGGTACCTGACAGATCTAACAAATCTGTGATCATGTTATTTTCCTCCTTCTGGTCAAAAACCTACATTTTCTCTGCACCTCTCACATTGGTAGTTATTGATTCACGTAGTAACAATTCCATACTTAATTCACATTAATTACCTTACACTAATTTTAAAGTTTATTTTCCTTCAATTTATTTGGAAGAAGAGACCTATAGTAAATAACAAAGAATCCAGCCTGTTTAGCCAAAGGAGATCTGGAAAGCTTCATCTCTGAGGGGCAGAGGTCTGTCTCCTATTAAAACTCATGCAGCATGGTTCTGCTGATGTTTCGTGTGGACATAAGGGAAGAACTTATTAGCCCATTTATGCCTCACTTTCTCTACTTCTAAGAAGGAAGGATCATAAATCAAGGGCTGAAATGGACCTAAGAAGCCATCTATTCTGGCTCCATTTTACAGCAGAGAGCACTGAGGCACGCAGGAAAATTACATTAGTTGCTGAAGGTTGCACAGATAGTGAGTATCAGAGCTCAGATGTGAACCCAGGGCCTGCTAGCTCCCAAGTCAATATTCTTTCCAGTATAACTCGGGATGAGGAACCTGCACTATACCATGTTACCTTCAAAAGGAAATCTGCCTTCCAGGCTATATTTATACATCTCAAAAGGAGGGGCAATCTGTTGATTTGATCCAACCAATTCAAAGTAAAAAAAAAAAATCCTTGATCTTAGTCAAAAGGTCAAAAAACAATGAATTAGTCTGTAACTACATGGGATGAATAATTCAAACTAGAAACCAAAGATGCAATACAATTTGATCGGAAATTCCTTTCTGTAGGGGCTCTGGCTTGAATTGGAGGGTTCAGCTCACCATCACAAATGGCACAAAGTGAGATCTCCACTGTGATATGGCTATAGAAAATTCTATTACAATAGCAATGATGGCCCAAATGGCAAGGGATTTTCAACTCCTGCTTCATGTGTGTGCCTAATGTAGACAAAACCTGTATCTCTATTTTATGGAATCTTTCCAAAGCAAATGTCCCCTTAAGTTGGGAGGAGAGTGGAGCAGGGAGAAGGGGTTTGATGTCTGTCTGATGCAGCTCTCCTATCCTGACCCACTAAAAGTGGCTCCCAAATCCCTGGTTTCCACCACCCTTCCACACCAACAAATCACTCCTACCCAAAGGAGTAACATTATGTGAGCAACTGTGCTTCAATAACAGCCACCACCCCTGCCCCAGACCAGCAAACGGTGATATCAAGCACTATCTTTTAAAAATCTATCTTCAGTTTCTCACTTTTTCAAGTGAATGTGACTTGTAATCGCTTTCCTTACTGCTTTTTTAATCAAAAATTATGGGTCATTTCCTAATTAAGGTACTAATTATGCTGGGTTGTTTACAAGTTTTATTAATTACAACATAAAGCCTTTTCATGTAATTCACATCTTGCTATTAATTTTGTTTTAATATCACACAAATATTATTTTTTCCGCTGATTGGGGTAATAGTATGCTGCCAAAGGCATTCACATCTGCCTAAGTGACACATTTGTATTCTGCCAGATATTCATAATGTATGAGGGGGTTGAAAATCCACTGAGAATATCATTCTTGCATTCAGGGATCCGGATTAAAGCAGTTGCAATATAGTAAAATTAAAAGCCAGGCAAATATAATAAAACTGCCAACTGTTTGATCCATAGGTGACTCTGCTTCTCTTTCAAATATAACTTTATTCTTTGAACTGGGATGATATCTCTGGAAACCAAGTTGGATGACAAGACTGTCCCTTAAAACTCTACCTGGGTGTCTGAAAAGTAGAAAGTGGAGAAGCAGAAGAAATCCAAAAAGAGATTTAGATTTCTGACTGAAAGGAGTTTGTTGTAGTAGAAAGGATTCATACATTGGGTGGGAAGTTAGACGATGAACTCTTTGCTCCTTTCCAAATCTAAATTCTATGATTCTGTATCTCTCATGATCCCTCTTGGTGTACATTTAAGATAAGGTTATGTAGGAAACCTGAAATATGTTTTAGGTAATACTATATGTGTTTTATTCTCTGAAAGACAGTTATACTCCTGAATCCAAATATTCCAGTTTTCTCTACCTTATAGATTTTTCCTTAGATTTTTACTTTTCCATTAACCACTGAGGTCTATCTCCATAAACTATTTTCAGAGAGCAAGAAAATGGTTTGCCTGCTCTTCCTTCAGGGAATTTATCTAGATAGAGGTCCATTTCCTCACCCTTCCATTATTTTAGGAGCTAGCCTATCTACCTCAAGAATTCTTATAGGATCATAGAGTTAGAGGTGAAAGAGATGTTACATATTGTCTAGTCTCATCTTATAAATGAGAAAACTGAAGAACAGAAATCCCAGGGTCACACAGCTATTAAGGGATCTGATCTAGAATTCAAACTCAGACCTTCCTATTGCCATAGAATCTTCTAGGGGAATAAAAGAGTCTTCTTGTCGACACCATCTGAAACAAGATTAAATTGGGGAGCCATTTAATGCACATTGATCTCTTCTCTTCCGCCAGATGGCTTAGCTTATAGAACTGACCATAGTCAGGCTTGAACTGCATCAATCATTGGGGTGCTAATTCAAAGGTCTGCCTGCTTGCTCCACAGAGGGAGAAAAAAAGGGATAATAAAGATAATGAGAGAATGTTTTTAAAGAGCTTTGGGCCTTTTTGTGGATGAAAGGCACAAGACATTTACCAGATTCGGTTAATGAATGGATCTATGTAATACCATGATCTCTTGTGTTTTTGCACACTGCTCCAGTGTATACAGTATAAGGTTGAGTTTGTGCCCAATGTCATGTGCTCTGTGATGGCTGGGTAGTTGAGAGACTAGGAGACTTTATTATGAAATGTTTCTCTTTCGTATTTCTGTATTTCTAAGACTCCTAAGCCCATTGCTAATATGATCTCAATATCTCATTATTAGCATTATCTCATTTAATCTTCTCAAAAGTGGAATTAGTTGGGAGCAGATACCACGCTTCCTACTTGGGCTTGGTGGATATGATACATGGGGACTCAGAAATTCTTCCAAGTCTCTCTCACTTTGATTGAAATTCTTCACTTGACACAGTTTGAAATTTTACCAAGTAGCAATTCATTTGGGTTAATGAATCCTTATCATGCAAATATTTCAAAAGACAAACACCCCTGAGAGAATTAAGACCCACTAGTCATTTACACCTTTCACTTGGTTTAATTAGATTGTTTTCCTGCAAGTTTTCCTACAAGTAAGTCTTAACTAAGTTAAGACTTACAGTTTAGAGCTTCGATTGGGGAGGCAGTAGAAGAAAGAAAGGTAATTTTGGAGCATGGGATACAATGAAGGAGAGGGAATCC